CCTGAATCATCCCGGTTGCTTTACACTACCAAGAGTGTGATGATTATAAAGACGTCAAGCAAGCAATCGATTGAGATCATTGACACTTGTCACTCTGTAACAATTGATAAGGGAAAATGGTCAGTTGATGGACGTCGTTATTGACAATTTTCTCTCCTCTCCAGGCGCAAGAGTATCTGGGAAGCAAAATAGCAATGCTGAGAAGCTTCATACGGAGTACTTTTCACTGCAGTGAATATCAAGAGAGTAGTTATGCCCATTTTTCCATATTTTCTATTACATAGTTTATAGACTAAAATTGAAAACGTTGTTCTTAATAGTAAACGTTCTTTCTGTGACTAACGCCACGTTTGAGATGGATATCATATTGTAGTAGTATCAATCTGTTGATTTACTCATGCCTTGTTTGATAAGGACAACAACAAGATCCACCAGAGATTGAAGATAACGGACAACAAGAAGGTAACACCATTTTACTGAGTTCTTTTTGTCACTGTATCCTCCTAAGGAATCGTTTTCATTTACATTTTTATTTTCTCGATGTTGTCCTCCAGTTCGTTTTTTATCTTTGTTTCCCCCAGATCAACAAGAAGGAGAAGCGATGGAAATGCAGATTCTTGGATTGCCACATCCAGATCAAGGTGTTTAAAATAGAATTTGCTCGTTCACTGTCCCCAACCAAATAGGTATCAATTGAAGTTCCCTTCGCTTAAGTCACCCAATTGTTTTTGGGCAAAAAACAGCGCAAAGAACTTTGATGGGAAAATGCACTAAAACATAGCTTCAGTCGCATTTTGAATTAGTTTTTTTTTTTTTTAAGAAACCGTTGGCTGAAATAGAATCACTCAGCGCTTGTAAGGCTAAGAGTACTTTTATTTTTACTTAATTACCCTTGTGTCCAACACCTCTCGAAAGTGCCTGTCTTCTAAGTTGAATGACTAACTATAGATCCGTGTTTTGGGGAAGATGAGTCTTACACTCTTGTATTTATCCATTTATCAAGATGCACAAGAGCAGCATGGAGACAATCAAATTGAAATTGTCCAACAGCTTCACAAGGAGGGTATGTGACGACATCATTGTTGATTACAATGTTTTTATAATTATCCAGATCATTGATATCATATTGCAGTAGTATTAATCTGTTGATTTACTCATGCCTTGTTTGATAAGAACAACAAGATCCACGAGAGATTGACGATAACGGGCAACAAGAAGGTATGAGCATTTTACTGAGTTCTTTGTGTCACTTTATTTTCCTCAGGAATCATTTTCATTTCCATTTTTATTTTCTTGATGTTGTCCTTCAATCCATTTTTTTATCTTTTTTTTCCCAGATCAACATGAAGGAGAAGCGATGGAAATGCAAATTATTGGACTGCAACACCCAGATCAAGGTGTTTGAACAACAATTTGCTCGTTCATTGTACCAAACCAAGTAGATATCAATTAAAGTTCCCTTCGTTTAAGACACCCGACTGTTTTTGGGCATAAAAACAGCGCAAAGAACTTTGACGGGGAAATGCACTAAAAACGTAGCTTTAGTAGCATTTTTAATTAGTTTTTTTTTAAGTTACCGTTCGCTGAAATAGAATCACTCAGCGCTTGTATGGCTAAGATTATTTTTTTTTTGCATTTAATTACCCTTGTGTCCAACACATGTCTCGAAAGTGCCTGTCTTCTAAGTAGAGTGGCTAGCTGTAGATTCG